ATCGAAGCCAAGTCTATTGAATTTTACCATTAATTGGAGCTGATTAGAGCTTCAAACCATGTGAATTTCACGACCTAAACCCAATAGCCTAAACCCGTTTTCGCGTTCTTCAAAGATTGCCTGCGTCGAGCGGGCAAAAGCCGAAACAGATCAACACTGCCATTTGCCGAATTTATTCGCCCCATTGCGTCAAAAGGCTGCTATAAAAACGATTTTTGGCTGCCCTCTGATCTCGTCATCCTCGGATGTCAATTGTTCCTTGTTAGTATGCGCATAACCAAAAGTTATATGTATAAAGCTCACGAGGTTTCTAGGGACTGGTAAAATTCCACAAGAAGCTAGCTTATTTCATGCCATGGTAGCGGTCAGAATTAAAGGGACCAGGAAGGTAAAGATTCATATCAAACGGGAGTTGACATAGAAATTCGTCTTCTCTCTCTCACTCCGTCTCTTTCTTGAGCCCGCTCTCTCCGCGAATTTTTATGATTTCAAGACCACAGAAGAACAAAAACGCCTTTAAAATCCGGATATGAAAATTCCTTCAAAAGCCCGTTGGCCAAAATCCCGAAATGTAAAAGTCGTTCAAAATATGGGTGTGTTTAAATCGAATTGTGAAAAGATATTTAAATTTCCGATAAATTGGCGTTTCGACCAAATGGAATTTCTACAAACTGATGAGGGAAATTAAAAATTTAAATTTCGACAAAATTCTTGACATGCTTTCTAGAATTTTCCCGATGCTTCGAGAGCACAGAACCTGCAAAGACTGAAAATATATCATAGAAAGTTTATTGATATAAAAGAGAGAATGGGGTGACGCGAGGGTGTCATTTTCTATGCCGGCTGAGCGTGTGAGCGTGAGATGAAATGAGCATCACCATTCAACTCACCGGCCCTTTATTTTCGTTGACAATCACCCCAACTTCCCTGCTCGCTATTTTGCGGCCATACGGGTTTCCGCTTGCCGTTCGGCGAGTAACACCCCCGGTGATGCCGATTATAATTTATCACCCGGACTACCGTAGCCGCCACAATTTTGCAAATCCTTTCCGGCTGTTCCGGCCGCTCGTTATAAGCCGCTATTTTTATGCGTTTCGGTGCATTGGCTTGCTTTTTGAAATTTTACTTTGTTTTGGAACCATTTGAATTATTATCGAAATTATTTGATTTTTGGAATAACGCATTAATGGGATTGTAATTATGCTTTCAATTTTATTATCATGCCTTCATTTCCGAATTTTTTACGACCAAAATGGGACTCAATAAAGAAAAAAATTCGGATTTTTCTGGTTTAGAGATTATAACGACACTTTCCGAATACGGTGGCCACAAATTTTGCAAACCGTTTCGCACTGTTTCGGGTGTTCCGGGCTGTCATTTTTTCGCTTCGGTCGTTTTTTGTAAATCCCTGGCTGGTTCAAAATTGACCTGATGATATAGACGCATTAAGGAAGTCTAAATTTTCATGATGACCCCAGTTGATCTCTTATTAGTACACTACTTTGCACCATCAAAAATTCCAGCCCGCGAGCTGATAAAAACAATTCAAATCGGAAAATTGATGCGTGTTTTGATGCGTTTTCGAAGGCAGTTCTGTCTAGGCTCAATTTTTTGATTCACCCCGCTTCGTAAAGGACGATCAACTTTTCCGTTTCTGTCATCCCATCCGGTGTGATTTTTGCCATATTTTTGAGTCTTTTTCAATGTTTGGACAAGCAAAGTCACCATTTTTGCAGGCTTTAAAAACCAAACTTTGGCTTGCCTAAATTCAAAAAATTGGTTCTTACGAAAAACAGCGAATCACACTTTTCTTTCAAAGGGGTTTTTTGCACTTGACACATTAGCCTTTTAACGAGGATTTTAGCTGATAGCATAAGTGCTCAGAAGTTCGGATGGAATCAGCCTAGCCCTGTGAGGCGAAATTGTCGATTTTTTTTATGGCTTACTATCTAGTGTATTCGAGAGCTCATGCTCGCGCTACACTCTTTTTCGTAGTGCTCTTGAACCTAGCTGCCCTCATTCAAACAAACGATCAAAATTTCCCTCCCTGCCATTGTCAATATTTTTTGCGGAGGTCAAAAATTTCGCCCAAAACACAACGCGCTGACATCACTCGGCCTCCCTCCCGAATTGCTAACCGAAATCCGGCTCATTTCGGGGGTGCAATTGGCGGAGAAGGGGGAAGATCGAGAGATCCCTGGTTTTAAAAGGATACGAAAAGTGAACCTCAGAGACATTGTTTTTAGAAGGTGGGCGGGGCAGATCTTTCGTTGTGTACTGTAAGGTGCGGGTGCTCGGCGAATTCACATGAATTCATTGTAGTACTGGCGGTGAACTTTTGATACCTGGGCAGTCGAGCATATTTGTAATTTTCGTCCAATTCCCACAAGAAATCTTGGCTTTAGTAGTTCTTTAACTAGCCCGTTATAGCAGAATTCTTGTGACCCCTACTTGCGACACGCAACGCGGACCGATTAGCGGCACCTTCGTTTCTCGTATTGCCTGTCAGGTTGCGTGCCGCGTCCGAAGTTGAGCCATAGCCTAAAAAATATTCTTATTCCGACTTTCCGGGGAAGGCTTCACTATGAGCTTCTGGGTCTGCAAATCCGAGGAATTGGTGCGCGGCCGCGACACGCGACGCGCGACGCCGAGCAACACCAAGCTCTTTGGTGGCCATCGCCTCGCGTTTTGCGGGTGTAACCAATGCGTTCGTAATTTTCCAGGTTGCTAGAACCATTGGCTTAGCTTCTCGGTCTTTTAGAGTGAAAAAGTACTTTTTGCTGCCATGGATTCTAATTATAGCAGGCGACTAATATATTTGAAGGGCCGCGACACGGGACGCGTAGCATTCGCGACCGAGTCCATTTTCTACGGTAGTGGAGAAACGGTCAAGTGCGTTGCGTATCACGCGCTCGAAATCAAACTAGATTACATTATCGAGGGCATATTCGGGAGAATTCAATCCTGGCTTGCGCGTACATTTAATGTCCGGCAATGCAAAAATATTTATGCTGCAATCCCACCCCTGAAAACAGTTTTTCGCTCCCAACACGGTCCCTCTGACCCAAGCGCCATCTAGGTACAAAAAACGATCCCCGCGCTCCCTTTCCCTCAAAAGCGAGGTAGTCTATCGCGGCTCTGACTAGAGACAGCTAGCGCTTTTCGGAAAACGTGCATTGACGTAGACAACTTGCCGGGGGAAACACCAAAAATACCCCGGCCAGCCTCCGCGTTAGAAAATCTCCATATTCTCCATGTCGGGGACGGTGGTCGATGAATGGTCCCGAGCGGCGTTGCGTGGAAAATCCTGCCCAACTCTCTGAAAGGGGTTATCCCCCCACGCACATACTGACAACATTGTGAATCATCGCAAAGTTGGAGCATGTATATAAGCGAGGAGCTGGAAGGGAATGATCACTGTTTTTGATGGAATCTGGGTCGGGGAACCTTGACTTGAATAAGCTTGGCGTTCTGCGATCTCTGCTAGCTTGGGCTAAGGATAGAAACTTCCTCAACCTTCAATAGTAGTTCATTTTCCTGAAAGGTCTCTGCCAGCCTGCCCTAGTGACCTAAATTGATTTACATCAAGCCCTTTGCTAGTTTGCCTCAACTCCCCGCAAAATTCCTCAAAGAACTCTGCTAACGTACCATGCTTCAACTTTCCGCAAAGGGTGTCTGCTAGCTTTCTCCTGATACGGATATCTTCTTTTCCTGGCGTCAAGTCTAGGAACCAGCCATCAACTCTCCTCCTTATTATTATGTTTCGCTACCTTTTCGACTGAACTGCAATGTAGTCTTACTAATTAGCTACGGCGAACATTTTGTATACTTTAGAGCTCCTACCAAAGGGGGCCGAGATACAAAAGTTGGTGCCGTGGGGTTTCTAGTTCTTTTTCTTTTCTATCATTCTGATCAGTTAGATAAGCGTATCCACGCGTACCTTCAGCCTCTTTGGAAACTGTTTATTTAACTAAAACTTTTGATTATAAACACCGTTTTACGACCAAGCCTGTTTACAAGGGAGGCCTAGCATAACATGACAACACTCTAGACATGCCTATACAAGTTTTATGCGCGAAGATAATACGGCTCTGTCTCAACATACTTATACTTATACTTATGTTTGTCAGCGTGCTGTCGAAATTGTCTAAACCGTTAAATAAAGATTTTTAGGCGGGTACGATGGTCGGCAGCGCTAATAAGGGCGGCATTTTTCAGTCCAAGACGCGATATGTCATTCTATTTTTGGGTATGTTATGCAGCTTAGGCGTGGAGTTCGGCATAGGTTTCAGCTTAGGGTTAGCCTTAGGCTTCCTCTAACCTTCACTTAAACGTTCCTTTAGGCTCCGCCTGCATCGCCTCGATCGCCTCCAACTATACGATCCTCGGTTTCACCTACATTTGCATGAGCAATGTGACGGTGGTAAGTTAAAAGAAAAGAGAGAGAAAAGAGAGCGAGAGAGAGAGAGAGAGAGAGATAGCGACCGAGACGGAGGGAGAGCTGAATGTTACTGTATCAATTTTAGGACGAAAATAACGCAACAGCTATGGCCACTCGTGGACAGTACGACTACACCCAGAAAGAAAAATCGTTCCTCCATTGGTCGTTGGCTGTCGGAACATTGTTGGCTGCCTGGCCTTTTCAATGGTAATTTTTGGGAGGCATCTTATTAAGGTACCGAGTTATACAAAAAAGCATTCTAGTTGCATCCTAAAAAAACGTCAAGTAAGTTGAAAAAAAGTCGTGGTGTAATTTTTATCGAAATGGCGTATGTTGTGTCGTACCGTTGTCTAGTATCAACCAAAAATCTACATTGTGTTTTGCATCATATCTTGGACATTTTAAAGGGCCTTTGAAGCCAAATTCATGGCTCTTATTTTTCAGGTTCTATCAAAAATACGGTGCCCGAGACGTCTTCTTCATAGCTGGAGTCATCTCCGCACTGTCGACGTCGCTAATGCCGTTAATGGCATCGATAGACTTCAAGTATTTCTTGGCAATGCGCTTTTTGCAGGTTGGATTTTTAGGGCATGTAAGATAAGATAGTTTATAGACATAGGTTTTAAAATATAAAATGCTCTTCAGGGAGTTTCCTTCGGTGCTGATTTCGCAGCTATCGGCCTCATCGTCGTCCACTGGGCTTCCTTGAAACAGCACGGTTTCTTCATCTCCCTCCTGTCGTCGTTCTCCCAGATTTCAGTGATGTTCACGATGCCTGTATCTGGATTGGTACGTTACAATACTGGTTCCAGAGTTCTTAAACATTGTTTTAAAGAGACTGTGACAGGAAAATAGGACCTTCCCGAGCTTTCGACTAGCTTAAAAATTCTCTCTTTCAGCTCTGCAACTCATCCTGGGGATGGCAAAGCGCGTACTACGTCCACGGAGCGTTGTGCATGTTCCTGTTCTCGCTTTGGTGGTGGTACTACCGTAACGACCCTGTTGACCACCCGAAAATGACGGAAGTCGAGCTCGAGAAGATTCAGCGCGGCAAGAAGGAGGAGGAGCTCGGGCAACATGAGGCTGTACCAGTTGGGGTAAGAATTTTTGGATCTCTCTCTCTCTCTCTCTCTCTCTCTCTCTCTCTCTCTCCATCTCTCTCTTCTAGTCTATCGCTTTGTCTTAGGCAATCCTCCGGGACCCCGTCGTTTGGAGCGTGTGGTTTTCGGCCTTCGGAGAGCTGATGATGTCCCAATTCATCGTCCTCTACGGCCCCACTTTCATCAAGGAGGTATGGGTTTGCCTTCTCAATACCTTTAACGTCCTATTTTTTGATATTGTTTATTAATGCACATTTGTTAGGTCCTCAACTTCTCCGTCGGAAAATCCGCCATGATGGTCGCTATGCCCCGATTCGTCCATCTTTGCTTCAAGATCATTTCCGGACATTTGAGTGACAAGATTAAGTAAGGGTTCGAGCTCTCTCTCTCTCTCTCTCTCTCTTTCTCTCTTTCGCTGCCTTTCGACATGGTGTATCCGAAAATGACCCCAACTTCTCAGGTTCCTCTCCGAGAAGACCAAGATGATCATCTTTAACACGATCTCCCTGATGGTGTCCGGCTTCTTCTTCTGCGTACTTGGCTTCATTCCCAAGGTATGGATTTGAGAGTTTAATGGGCTATGGAAGGGCTAAAAACCAGCTCCAGCTGCAAAATCTTAAGGCCCAAATTTTTAGGAACAAGCGTTCTACAGTATCGTCATCCTCTTTATCATCGAGGCGACGACCGGATGTATTTGCGGCGGTTTCTACAAGTGTGCTACCCTCGTGGCAAGGTAAGATTTAGCTTAAGCTTAGGCTTAGGTTTAGGCTTAGGCTTAGGTTTAGGCTTAGGCTTAAGCTTAGGCTTAGGACTAGGTGTTTTTTTGATACCTCAGAATAAACTCCACTCCATTCCAGACAACACTCCCACTTCGTCCTCTCTGCCATCCAGTTCATCAAGTGCCTCTCCCTCTTCATCGAGCCCACCCTGATTTTTATCTTCTGCCGCAACAACACACTTGCCGAGTGGCGAATCGTGTTCCTCATTCATGGCGGTCTCCTGATTGGCGGCAACATCATCTTCTGCTTCTTTGCCACCGACAAGCCGGCAAAGTTCACCTACACGCAGGCCGACGAGACCGACGAGCTGAAGCAGGAGCCGGAGAAGCAGAGGTGCTACTAGAGAGCTAAATTATAAAATACATCCGATATCAAAATCACTAACCCCCTAAAATTATATATAAAATACGTAGCCATCTGAATTTCCTAAAAATCTAAAAAATTTTACGCTGCTTTCCAGTATACCCTTCCGGTTCTTTATCGTGCAATAAACGGCACCAGAATATCTAGCTTTACTTGGAAAAATGCCAAATCTGAATTTATTTCGATGGCATTTTTACACTCACGGCTACAGTAATCGTTTTGTTTTATTAACAGTTATAGCACAAATTTCCTAACTACGGGTCTCATATTCTATTCCCAACAAATATTGGTGACTCCCCCTCATCTGGTTGTGTGTATTCCCTCCTGGTCGCTTTGTTCTGCATCGAATAAACGAGAATACATGACAATCATACAGAGAGCATCAGAAAATCGGAGAATCTCACAGTTGATGAACTTGTAATGGTTCGAAGTTGCGAAGCTCTAGCGAAAAATGCATAAGCCCTCGGAAGCTATTCAAATGCTTTTGATAAATTTTTATAAATTCACATAAATAAGATTTTTCCTACCAAATTTTGTTGGAGCCAGTTGGGTTTGATCGAATTTTTGAAGCTCCCAACCTTAATCCAAGGAAATCTAGTTTACTGTTCGATACCTAGCAGTGGGACTATTTTGCAGATACCACCAGCGTTTTTAGGCATTTTAATGACGCGATTTGAAGGTTACGCTGCTTGACCTGTCCTAAACCAATTTATTTCTTTCGCAGGGTGAATTCATTTAGTCGGACTTGTAAAACTTTTTCAAAGTCAGCTTCCTAACTATTTGTTTTTCCCGTACACCGTCGGTGTGGAGAATTTCTACAATGAAGTCTTGCAATTACGACAACAATTGCAATCCTTAAAATATCCAGTGTCCTAAAATTCGCTAAATTACAGACAAACGTCACAATTCCCCGTCTTTTTTACCTATAACATTTTTCTTATACCCTGCACAAAATACTTTTAGTTATTCGTTCATGGCATCGTGTCCCAGAAATCCGCTTTAATTTACTCCCGAGTCTGAAGCTTCTAGCCCAATCAAAAAGGTCTTGATGTGGAAAAACAAACCTTTAATGCTAACTCATGTTAAACCTGACTCATAAACCAATTATCAGGTTGGATAATAATTTCAAATTTTTGGAATCGCTTGTTAAACTGCAATAAATTAATAGTGTGATATATGGTTTGATAGTTCCTCGAGCTTACCTTGGGTAGACCCTCCTCCACCCAAAAATTGAGTCGCCGAGATAGAGCTTGAGAGTTTTCCGCAAAACGTACCAAACCTATTTTGCAAGCTATCTCTGCATAGAGCAATTTGCATGCGATACCTTTAACACTAATCGATAGCTTTCGAGGAGTAGATATCGATAGATGTTGAGATCATCAAATTGGATCCGATGGCCGAGATATGGCCCCTTGATGGCCCATTTCTTAGCTTTCTCGAATCCCATACATTTGCAAATGCGCGGTTCTTTTGAAAATCAAGCGGTCAGTTTGGCCGCGGGCTATCAAATGTATGGGTTTCGGGAAAAGTTCAGAAGAGCCAAATTCAAGGGGTCCGGCCATCCGTGTCCGATTTGATGCTCAACATATCGTACTACTCCTCGACTATCGATGTGTTAGTTCGCTAGCTCTATGCAGAGTAACTCGCTAACACGCTTTTGCGTAATTTTGCGAAACCTTCTCGGGGCTGTATCTCGACGTCCCTCAATTTTTGCGTCAACTGAGGGTCCTCCCAGAATAGGGTGTTGTGAGACCTATCAATCCATACCTCATACTCCAGAATTGGAAACATCTGCGATTTTAACGAGCGATTTCAAAAAATTGTGACAGAACTTATTATCCAACCTGATAAATGAAAATTGAAACTACCCCTTAATTCGCGAAAATACCTCAATTTCAGACTCACCGACGCGCCACACGAATAGACGTAACTTGGCTGCGTCAAAAAGCCCTATACAACGATTGCCGACTAGCATAATTAGACGATTCTGCATAATATTGTATTCCCTCTATTTTGATAGCGTAATTGAATTTTATCGCATAATCCCAGTTATTTTCACTTGTGATCTTCTCCTGTGAACTGAACATTCCGCGACTATACCCCGTTTCGCATCTCACATCATTCCATGGACAATGAGGATAAATTTTGAATTGAGAAACTGGTTTTAACAAATAAAACACTAAAAAAATAGAAGATTCGGCAAAATCGACCTAATCAGTCTCTTTAAGTTGATATTTGCGCTGGTTAGTAGCTTTGTGTAGTTTAGGGGCATCTATTTTGGAAGCCGTATTTTTCAAGCAGACTTTTCTAGTTTTCTATAATAAGCAGTCCTTTTTTAAACTTTTCCTCGGGTTCTTTGACTAATTTTCAGAGCTTTTTTTAGGTTCTTTCACCATCTCCCTCAGTTCCTCCGCAATTCCCCTCTGACCCCCATAAAGCCTGTCAAAAACTGTAAAAATCGCGCGGGCGCTTCACGCCGCGCCTCCAGAGTCCAAATGGGGCAGATCGTAAACCGAGATTTTGCTTCTTCCTAGTGAAAGAGATCTGCGGCTTTTAGTTAGCATGTGTGTCAGCTAATCGGGGTTTGTGGTTTTTACATCAACGTTGAGCTAATGTAAAAGATAATAAAAATCTAAAGTGAGTTCACAACTTTCACCGCAATAAATTCCTCCAAACGCGCTGCTCTACCAGGTTTATGACCCCCTGAAACCGCCTGAAACTGGCGAAAACTAGATATGTTGCCCCGCGCCCAGGTCGCTGACCCCAATAAAGTGGCACCATGCCGCCTGTCGTTATGCAAATATTTGTCGCAAGATTCGGCTGAAACATGGATTTTTCATAGGGCAAATAGCAACCTTGTATTTTGAAGCCGAAGCCGAAGCCGAAGCCGGGGTCTAGGCTTAAGCCTAAGCCTAAGCCTGTAAACCCTAGGCCTACGCCAAGCTGCGGAAGTTACCTTCCGTAATACTCTTAACAGCATAGAATATCTTTTTAAGCTTTTTTCTTGAACCTCCCGCGCTTCCCACAGCTTTAGGCGCACAGAAACGCTCAACGCGTAGCGGGTGCGTAGCGTCTGAGGTCCGCCGCAGCACATCTACGCCGCGTCTCAGCTAAGATCCTAAAAAAATACGAAAAACTTGCCTTCAATGGCCCCTTAAAGAGTTAGCAATTGAAAAACCGTGGACCTCTGCTTTCCTGCCCTTTTAAGCGTTTTTAGCACCTTTTAAAAACTCTGCAAATATAAAAAACGTCGCAATGCGCTATGACGAAACCACCATTTCCTGTTCACCCCTTTTTCCGATGCGAACACAGCTCTCCCAAAGCTTTTCACACGCATGAGGAGGGATGGATGGATAGGGACCGGGGGATGGTGTGCAGCGGGTCCGTATATTTGTTTGCTGGCCAGTGTCACGGTCATCCCCTTCAGGGCTTTTCCCTCTGGGGAAAAGCCCGAAAAATACGGAGCTGATTCCTGATCCGCATTTTTGAGACAGCTGATTAAATCCGTTTTCAAAAAAAACTAAATTGCCAGGGGTTTTCCCAATTTTTGAATTTTCTGTCGTATACGGTGGGTCCTCTTTAATTTTTGATATTGTCGTCTGATTCAGAATTTTTTTCCCTTTTTATCAGCTAGGTCTCGTGTTCTAAAAGGTCTTTGCTAGCCCTTAGGTCTTTGCCCCTCATGAAAATAGCTAACAAACGACACATTCGAGCCGTTTACCCTGATTTTGAACGAATTTACCGTACTCACATTGTGATCTTTGAATTGTTTGTCTTGATCAAAAAATTTTGTGGCTTTTACGGGGAATTCCCTTGTCCCAAATCAGCTTTGCTAGCCTGCCTCAGTTATCCAAGATTGAAACGCCTTTTCTACAAGCAGCTTTGTCCGATTTTTTCAAATTTTCACGAATACCGTATCGTAATCTATCGTATCGTAATCCACAGAGCAAAACCTCTTGGCCGATTTTTTTGAATTTGCGCGAATACCGTAGTCTAATTGTCATTTTTGACCCCATATTTTGACAAAATTTTCTTCTCGTGAAATCAGCCATCCCAGATTGCAGAAATGCTCTCTGCTAGCCTGCCCCGTTCTCAATTTTTCCCTACCGAGGGCACATCATGTTCCTTTCCCCGCGACCCGCCGACCCCTTCAAAGCGTTCCCCGCAAACGAAAACTTCATAAAATGACAAATTTGAGTCCAAGTTTTTCGCGCGTTCGCCTGGGTGCGGGAATCCGATGACCGCTAGCTGCGCGCTCACTTTTCTCCGCCCCTAATCCAGAAATCCGGTCTAGTCCGCGAAGGCCGTAAGGTCATAGTAATCCTGGTAGCCTGAAAATCGTCTAAGGTTTTGCGTTTCTAAATCTCTAATCTAATAAATCACAATAAGGGTGATCGGATTTGGTGTAAGTAATCACATAGTGTTTAAAAATTAATAAATTTCATTTGATCTAAATTTTGCGAAAAATGCCAATTGTCGAAAATTTGTATAGACGCAAAAGCGATTTTCCGGCTATCTGATTTGCATAAAAATTGAAGTAGATTTTTGTTACTTTTCGAACCTTTATTCTTGACTTCCGGGGCTTTTAGGATAAAATTCTGATAATTTTAATACTGCTGCGAAAAACTCGGTTTTCTAAATAGTAGCAAAATTTGCACCTCTGACATTTCTCACATTTCATATCTTTCCAACTGGGCACTAAAAACCTTTACATGATACTCTCCCTTGACAAGTACACTTTGTTCCACTTGCCGCACAGCCGCATATGCCCTTCCGATATTGCATAATGCTACACGGCAAAGAGAGAATACGAACCAGTCCTAACCACACTAGCTGTTTCCTACCCCCGTAAAGGGGAGTCTCGAGTAGTCGAGTAGTTGAGTAGTTGTGTAGTGGAGTAGCTGAACCAATCCCCTTTTTGCAACCGCCAACCCCCTGAGCGAGCGGCAAATTGTAAGGGTTCAAGGAGAAGCCCAGAAGGGTGTCCGTTTCGCATTGTTGCGAGTTTTCGAAACGGTACTTTGAGGGGTATTGTACGGATTTACTAACCTTCCCTCTTTTTTTAGACTCTTGAACTTTTTAAAGGGCTACTGAAGTATGACCCTGTGTTTCCAGATAGATTTCTTATCTGCCCAAAAAAATTATTCCAGCTCCTGGAACTTATTTAAAAGTTATATTTTTGTTACACAAAGGTATAAGATAATTTATTATACGTTAAATGTGACGCTATATCTTTGTTTGAACCCGTTTTAATACCCTTAATTACATGCGAAAAGCCACCGGAAATCATGCAGCTACATCCTTTTTGACACTTATCATATCCGAGCTCGTTCCCGGCAAGTTTCCGCTTTCTCTCTCTCTCTCTCTCTCTCTCTCTCTCTCTCTCTCTCTCTTTCTCACTATCACCCCCATGCATGCATACCACCCATATTCCATGCCTAATTGCCCGTGCCCGCAACAGGCCGCTTCTTCTCACTTTCACCTTGCACTCGCTTACTAGGCGTTTTTTAAAGGACTGTTACTAGGGATCGAGAAAGTGTTCCGGAAAGCTACTTTGACGTAGGTAACGTATACCAAACTCTACCTATAGGCTTATATCTAAAAGGGCATCCCGCTTTCTTCACTCCCCTCTTTCATTCTCTCTCAATCTCTCTCTCGCTCTCTCGCTGTCTCTCACTTTCTTGCTCTCTAGTAAATCAAAACTTGCAGATCCATTGCATGAGGATACCGGCTCCACCTATTGGCCCTTTTATTAAACTTTATATATGCGTAATTCTACTATCTAGAATTAGAAGCAGGTTTCATTAAAGGTAAGTGTGTCTCCTGTTTTTGGGAATTTTTACTGCAGATAATTTCATTCACACCTGCGGCTGCGAGCGACGCTTCCATCCGGTTTGCGGCTCCGATGGAATCACTTACGACTCGGAGTGCAATCTACAGTGTGCAAAGGAGAATAAGACAGGTAAAAATGCAAACAAAAGCTCAAAAACATTTATAGGCTTAAAATTATTGTATCTGGGGACGTGCTGCCCGAAGGATTTGTGCCCGGAAGTGGTGCAGCCTGTATGTGATAATTACGGTAGGTGGGATACAATACGAAGCTGTACGCTACTGTACATTACAAAAACTACGTTACGATACGGTATGGTATTGTACAGTAGATGTACGCTAAGGATGTCATGGAGTACTTCTTGATACAAGACTGAACGGTACCGAACGCTACGTTACGATATGCACCCGCGTCATAACGCACTGTATCTGCCTTGTCGAGTACGCTGAGATACTGTAGGATACATTATGTTACGCTGCGGCAAGCTACGATTTTTTACCCGCTTTTCCGCTTCCGCCTTTTATTTTGGTGTAAAAAAGTGTCCCAACTTTCCCTAAAAAATCGAAACCCCTTCCACGACCCGACCCCCGCCAGAGATCAAGCCCAGAGATTTCGAAGTGGAAAGTTTTTATAGGGCTGCAAGCGCTGGAACGCTTTTTATGAGTCTGCAAAACCAGGCGCAAAGGGAGAAAAGATATTATAGAAAACCCAAAAAATCTGATATGTGCATTAATGAAAGCGTGATGCCTCAAAATTTCAGGAAGGACACATCAAAACGAATGCCGATTCCACTACCACAAGTGCTTGCTGAAGAAGCTGCAGAATAAGCGGATCTACATCGAGCATGCGGTGAGTGAGGCTTAGGCTTAGGTTCAGGCTTAGGCTTAGGCTTAGGCTTAGGCCTAGACTTAGGTATAGGCTTAGGTTAGGCTTAGGTTTAGTCTTAGGCTTAGGCTTAGGTTCAGGCTTAGGTTTAGGCTTGGGATTAGGCTTAGCCTTCGGTATTTACTAAGATTGCGTAATATCTTCTTTGAAGCTCAAGCCGTTACAAAAACCTTATTGCACCCAAGGAGGGTGGGTGATTTGTTCCACCCCCACCCGGCGCGGCTCCTTTCACGGCCATAAAACATGGAGTAACGTGCCCTCCGAGAAAACTTCGAAAACTCTGGAAGCGGCAGCGGGGGAGGGGGAGGTGAAGCAACTGTATGAAGTTTTCTCACTTCATGGCTGCTCCTCACTTTTCATGAGGCGTTGTTGGCTTGCTGTAACCTGCTTACTTTTGGGTTATTTGGTAAGCTAAAGAAAATATTTAATTAGATGAACAACATAACTTTTTTGCACCCTAATTCTGCTTTTCCCCATTGACTGTTCGTACTCTCCTCAAAAAGCAAAATTCGGGTAATTTAACCGATTTTTTTAGGTTTGTTAAAGGGACTGAGAAGCTACAGAAAACTTCTGCCTGCAATTTTCATCCTAAAATCCTGAAAAACCTATATTTTAGGGTGAATGTCGTCCGGAAGAACGTCAAAATGAGGATTGCTCGAAGATTTTTTGTAATCCAGAAAATGACGGGCCGATTTGTGATGAGTTTGGAAATACACACAACTCGACGTGCAAGTGAGCCTCTTTGTGTGCATCTCTCTCTCGCTCTCTCTCGCTCTCTCCCTCTTTCTCGCATTTTCCCGCGCTCTCTAGTAATTTACTTCCAATTTTAGATTCGATCAACTCAACTGCAAACGCCGCAACGACAACCAAGAAGAAATTATCGTAGCCTACCACGCTCCATGTAGCCGAAATGACACCGAATTGAGCGAACAAGGTAAAACACGTTTTTGAGGTCATAATTTTTGTCTAGAGCTAGTATTATTGCAAACTCTACGCGAAGTTAAGCTTGAAGAGCTCAAAAATTTGAATCGGACTACCGTCTCGACCCCTGAGATCACGACAACTTCTCAGATTTTGATTCCAAGGCCGAAGCATGAGAAGCGGAAGAAGAGAAAGAGGGTGAGTACAAGCTTATCCTTGTTTGATATAATTGATGCGAGGTATGGATTTTTTAACTGGTTTTTCTTGCGTATTTCGTGTGCCGGGGATTTTGCACGTCGAACCGGCTAAAAAAATGGGCGTTATAATTCTTTAGATTTTCCGCATAGCTTCAACATTTTTTTAGAATTTGAATAGTTTTCGCGATGATTAACTGTATTTCACAACTACCTACACAGTTTTAAGTTTGATTAATTCCCCTAAGAACTGCACATCCATGCTTTTTTTGGTTTTTTGTGTGTTTTTCATATTTTTGTAGATTTGAGTAATTTCTCTCCATCTTTAGGCATAGCTCCTAGGTGCCCATATTTTGCTTGACATAAAACGTAACACCAAATTTTCTGAAATTCCATTAAACTACCATCTCCAGACTAAAACCGAGAAGCATCCGCGGAATCCATCGCACAAGAAGGCCCTCGCCAGCAAAACGAGGCCACGACCCGAGGATGGGTGGAATAGTAATGGGGAGGATGATGAGGTGCCCCCCACGACTGTCGAGGAACCATTCACCCCCATATCCACCATTTTCATGGAGACCACTGTTGGGGAGAAACAGAAAGGAATGGATAGGGTATGGAAATGGAAATTAACTAGGTATTTCTAATTTAGACATTACCTGAAGCTGCACCAACAACGATTAGCCCGATGCCTACACCGGGACCATTGGAGGAGACGATTCTTGGTCGTGCTGAGATGGAGAAAGGGCCGAAGCGAAAGATTGTGAAGAAAATGGTGAGTTAGGGAAACATAGAGAGAGAGAGAGTGAGACAGACAGGGAGAGAGAGAGAGTGCGAGAGAGCGCCATAAGTTAAAAAAGCACGAGAAGACCTTTTAAATAAACTATATATATATATTAAACTATATTGGATGGCTTGTTACTACCTTTAAAGCTTACGAAAAGCAAACCCTTAAATCGCCCTCCATTTCAGCAAAAATCTCCCTGGGACCTGTCCCAGCCCTGTTCTGCTGTGGCGTGCAACAAGAAATGGGTCCCAGTCTGCGATCACCAAGGTCGAACCCACAAGAATCTGTGCCTCTTCAAGTTCTACGCATGTAAAGTGTACCGTCACGATGCGGTGATCCTGGAAGTAGCGCATGAGGGCGAGTGCCGGGAGACACAGGTTGGGGCTCAAAACTGAAACTGGATAAATGCATGTAAATAGGTTTACAAGGGCGAGGACCAGCCATGTGGAGTTTGTTCGACTACCAAGGAGAAGACACCGATCTGTGACAATATGAATCAGGTGAGAGAGAGAGAGAGAGAGAGAGAGAGAGAGAAAAGAGAAATCTTTAACGCCCTTTTAGACTCATCCCTCCCTCTGCCACCTCTCAGTCTGGAACTGCCAAATGGAGCTGAAGAAAGAAGAGCGCAGGATTTTGGTTCATATCGGGTCCTGCAACGGGGATAGCCCGGTTTTTAGCGAACAGGTGGGAAATGTTATCAAAAAGCATTTTAAAGGACTGTTGCAGGCAAAAGACTGCTTGCGTTTTAATTTTTAACAGCATTTTTAGGAAGAAATGTGCCCCGAAAGCTGCTCATCAAAACGTTTGCCAGTCTGTGATGAATCGATGTTTGAGCACAAGAATTTGTGCACTTTCCAGGTAGCTAACTGTTTTCTTTTCAGCTCCATTCCCTTATTCGCTCTCTCTAATCTTCTAACTTTTTCACTATCGCTCTCTCATTCTCTCTCTCTCGCTCTCTCCGCCTCCTAGTAACTATAGTACTCCATAGTAACCTCTTCAGATGAAGCACTGCCAGGCGCGAAAGGCCGGTAGACGACCTCCAGGCTTGGCTAAATTATCCGCCTGCCCGAAAATCGATAAACCTCAAGGTATCATTAGTGCCTCCTTTTGTAGAGCAGACAGGCTCAAAAATCATTATTGAGACAATTTGCAACGCTTTTTTAAGCAAATTTTTAGTTGTTACCCCCGAAATTGATCAAGGTTGCCCTACTCCAAGATGTTCAGAGGAGTCCTCGCCGGTTTGCGACAGCTTGGGGAAATTGCATCTGTACGTTTTATTATAAACGACAATAACATTATTAATATAAACACAAATCATCAAAATATTTTCGAAAGTTTAGGAACGATTGCTTATTTGAGCACGAAAAATGCAAAGCAACGCTACGAGGGGTGGAATTAAAGAAAGAGGTACGTAATGCTTTTCCTTATTTCTCCCTCTCTCTCTCTCTTTCTCTCTCCCTCTCTCGCTCTCTCTCGCTCTAGGTCTCTCTCGCCCTAGCACTAAACCACTTTTATTTGTAGCCAGCTACAAACTGCGCCAAATGTCAATTCGAGTGCCCGACTAAAATAAAGGGTCCGATTTGCGGCGACAATTATGTAACCTACGATAATCAGTGTCTATTCGAAAAGGCAAAATGCATGAATTCCACCCTGGCACCGCTTTTTAAAGGTACGTCGAAGTCAAAAATCCATAGCTCTCTATGAAAATTAGGAAGCTGTGCCCTTTGCTTTAATGAGCCATGTCCGGTCCTCGATGAGAATGCCACTGATGACTTGCTAGTATGTGACCAAAATGGACAGACAAGGTAGGAAATTTTGGGAATGGGGGAAAAATTAAAATTATGTAGATCCCGCTGCGAGTTCAACATGCTCCACTGTGTGTTGGCCCAGAATTTTGGGTTTAATTTGAGCGCTATTCATGTAAGTTTTCGGATTTTTTTTATTTTCAGTCTACGCGAATTATGGCTACGTCAATGGGCCATGCATGTATTTTTCAAATCTCAAACTTTTTGATTTTTGATCAAGCTGTGCATTGGCTCAATTTTCAATATTTCCTAACTATCTATATTTTGGCTTAGGAAGGCCGTTGCTGCGCCTCAAAAGACAACTGCGCATCCGCTCCTCGAAACCCGCTATGTGCTTCCGACGACAAAACCTATGACAACATTTGCCTGTTCGAGATCGCGAGGTGCCAAAAGATGAAGCAAATGGCGAGTTTAAATCTAAAACCAATCACAAAATCTCTCTAAGGCTAAAAAGAGTCTTTTCAAAAAAGGGCTTTTGGTTTTCGCAAAAAGAGATCAATTCTCGTGGCAACAAAAAGTGCTAAATTCCGTTAAAACTCTGAAAAATGCCACAAAATGTGGGATCAACCAAAAGTTGCTGGCACCTTATTAAAAGGGACAGACCGTTTTTAGCCGTTTCGGCTTATGAATAAATTTCTGTATTATGATCCATTTTCTTGAAATTAATCCGTGGACCTGACCTGTAATTTAAAGCAGTCCCAAGTTTATTAAGATTTTAATTAGCCAGCAGCTTTTTGTTGTTCCCCATTTTGTGGCATTTTTCAGAGTTTTAACGGGATTTAGCACTTTTTGTTGCCACGAGAATTGATCTCTTTTTGCGAAAACCAAAAGCCCTTTTTTGAAAAGACTCTTTTTAGCCTTAGAGAGAATTTAGCCCTTTTTGCCGCAATTTTGTTGTGAAGATTATAGAATAAGTCATGGGATATTTATTCAGATGAACCCTTGTACACAATACTTCAAAAAAATTGCCTGCGGCGCTTTGTAACGGTACTACAAAACCTTAACGAGGCATTTGGGCCAATCAGCAAAAACGATGTTGCGGGCGGGGTTCGAACTCGAGAGCCAGGTCTTCCCAGTACAGCGTGCTAACCACTAGGCCAACCGGGAGACTGGAGGCCTGCCTTCGGGGACCTAGACCCGCCCTGCTGATCCGGGGAAAGGGGGCCGAGAAAGGGGAGGGTGGCGCCCCGTATGGCGAAGGTTTAAAGTTATAAAAACTCAAAGGGGAAGCATTCATTCGATGCAATTTCTTCTTTACTTACTCCAGCATGGTCTAATACATATTTGAGCAAAATTTCAGCCCAAACGGACAACACTAACCCTTGTTTTGGCCGCAATTTAGCTTTTAGACTTAAAAATTAAATATAAATTTTTTAAAAGCCTATTTTGAAAAAAACGCTTCTTCCTCACCTTCATTTACATCAAGTCAATATATGTAGAAAATTTCAGCCCAAAACGGACCATGGGAAGGCACTTTTTGACGACTACAAAGGTTTTGCGGACATACAAACAAACGCAGACCCCCCCCTCGAAACGCAATTTAAATCGGCTGTTAAAATTCGAAATTTAACTTTTTTTAATTTTTAAAAACTTATATTATGCAAAAAATGTCGCCGGTTCCGATGGTGTATTCAGTTTCGCGATCCGATGCATGGTTCTTTTTTAAATCCGGAAAAGGACCCCAAAAGAGTCGTATGGGGGGGTACCTCAAACCAAAAGGGGTTAGCGGGCTACGCCCGCTGCCCCCGACTACAGGTGATAGCCGAAATGACAATTTGCTTTTCAGGGAATCGAGCTGCTCCTCATCAACGAGGGAGAATGCCCCATAAAACACAAGAAATTGAATCAACGTTCTTCCGATCCAGGCGTGGATAGTAACAATGCGGACAATTCAGGTAGTGGCTCGGTTTTTGCGTCTAATTCTGAAGTTTAGTCCAAGAAACTACAAGTACTACGATGGCTACCTTTGCTTCTACGACTGCTACTACAGAATCACCCACAACTACTCAACCAGACGTCTGCGATCCGGGCTTTCGATGCGGCCACGACTACTTTCCGGTCTGCGGCTCCGACAATCAGACCTACACAAATGCGTGTGAGCTGAAGAAGGCGAAATGTATGAAAAAGTGAGTAGAAACGGAGGGAGAATCTACGACAATCTATTAGGCAGTACGTTAGTTCATTTCCGATCGTTGGGTTATTTTTGCCCCGCTCTCTCGAGGGGGCTCCAAAAATTAGAGTATACTCATAATTGTTCGTGTGCACGGAAATCTTTAGTAAAAGGCGAAAGATTTTCTCGGACAAATGCACACGAACCAGAGGTGTTGAGTTCGGGATAGACGCGCACTTATCGAGACAGAGACGCCCAGGTGGGGGCTAGTGGGGTGCCGAGCAGAGAACATGCAGAGGGCACACAGTATGACCAGATAGAGCTAAAGAGAAAAACAAAAAGGTGTACGGTTTGGACTTACCAATCGTTTTTTAATTTTTTGTGTATTTGGCAAATGATTGCATCGATACTGAAGTCCGGTAGTGTAATAGGTTCAATCTAAAGGTGCTAGGAAGCTTCCGAAATCAAGCCCCTGATTTCGCCTTGACGTCGACAAATACGCAGAATTTAGACACGCTGGTATTTTTTGTAGCCATCGGTTCGTTAAGAGGATTTTCGGCTCAAGTCTAGGAACCCCCAGCCGACTTTTCTACTTTTCTACCTTCCTTATTTTATTTTCCCTACTTTTTCGACTGAACTGCAATGTAGTCTTACTAATTAGCCTACGGCGAACATTTTGGTATACTTTAGAGCTCGCTAGCACAAAGGGGGGCCGAGATACAAAAGTTGGTGCCGGCTGGGGGGTTTCTAGACTCTTACCGGATTTTCAATATGGAGTTATACGCTTAGCGACATTTCGAGTATCGTGTAGCCTGATTGCCGTGTCGTCTAACTTTCGAACAATTCTGACATTTCCTGGTCCCTGTAAAACGTCAAAATAGTATCGAAGTATTAAAAGTATTGGCCGCTTAATTTTGCCTTAAAACCCTCTGGTTTAGCCTTAAACTCGACATCATCTACGAAGGAGAATGCTGCCCGACCGACTGTCCCACTTATTGGAGCCCTGTGTGTGATAGCGACAACCGGAGTCATCAGGTTTGACCATGAAGGATTTTTCCGTCCTTTAGCTACAGTATTCAACGCATAATTTGAATTCTAGAATCTCTGCTTCTTCGGCTTGGCTCGATGCCTAGAAACCAGGAAATACGGCAAGGATTTGACGATTTCCAAGTTTGAGATGTGCTCCGAGAAGACGGAATGTGAGGAGTGTGGGAAGATGTATCAGCCAGTTTGTGGCAGCAATGGTTAAGGATTTTTTTTAGGATGAAGTTGTTTTTTAGAGGAGACTTATGTAAATGAATGCGAGTTGGATCGGTACAATTGCTTGATCGAGAAGAATGTGACGAGTGGAGTGAAGGTGGAGAGGGCTTATGAAGGTAGCGCCTCCCTCACTTTCCTTTTCTGCATCTCTCTCTCTCCCTCTCTCTCTCTCTCGCTCTCTCTCTCTCTCTCTTCTCTCTCTCTCTCTTTCTCTCTCTCTCTGTGTCATTAAATACCTATGCAAATTCAGGAGAATGCTGTAGCACGAAATCTTGCTCTCTGACCTACGAGCCACTTTGCGACTCTCGAGGCCAAACCCATCCTAATGACTGTGCTTTCAAGAAAAGCCAATGTTTAGCGGAAAGAAATGGAAATATTACCGTGGATTTGGCGTATAAGGTATGATAATTAGCGAAACGTTTATCTTGCAAAAATTCACTTGAGCACTGCTTTCTATAAATTGTAATCTAGGGCCAATGCTGCCAGCAAGAATGTGAAGACACCAACCACCCAGTATGTGATGGAAAGAAGACGCACAAGAATATGTGCAAGTTTAGGTAGCTTGGATCTTTCTCTCTCTCAATCGTACTCTCTCGCTCTCTCTGGAATTATTTCTCTCGCGCGCGCTCTCTCTCACACGCCTGAAATCCTGAAACCCTCTAGAGCTGCCCAATGTGAAGCGGAACGTCTTGGAGAAGTTTTGTTGCTCGCCTACATCGGAGAGTGCTGCACGTTGCAAGAGGTGCATTGATTTCCATGTCTGCTGCCCGATCTTCATCCATTAATGCATCAATTTTCTAGGGAAATTGCCAAAAAAGCGGTGCTCTTTGCGATTCGGATGGGGAGACACATCAAAATCTCTGCCAATTCGAAGAGCGACAGTGTATTATGGAGCGGAATCTGTTGAAGAATTTGAGTATTGTGCATACAGGTATTTCATTAATTTTCTTTTTCTCGCTCTCTCTCTCTCTTTCTCTCTCTCTCTCTCCGGTTTCGCTAACCAAAAAATTCCAGGCGAATGCTGCAAAATAGAATCTTGCGGACGAGACGTCGAGCCGGTCTGCGATTCAAACGGCGGGACCCACGCTTCCGTCTGCCATTTCAAAAATACGAAGTGCATTCACGACAAACTACACCCAAATATGACCCTGCAGTTTGAGTATTCAGGTATGAAAATATTTAAAAAGGCAGAAAATTTGTGTTTTAAGGTCAATGCTGTCCATCAAATTGTCGACCAGACTGGGAGCCGGTTTGCGATCAGCATGGAAGAGTATACAAAAATACCTGCTTTTTCCAATTGAAGAGTTGTGAGATGTCGAGAAGGTAAGGAGAGAGAGAGAGAGCGAGAGAGAGAAAGTGAGAGAGAGAGGACAACGAATAGAGCGAGAGAGAAAGAGTGAGAGAGTGATACTTTACCATTTTCAGATCCGGCGGCGTCCTCCTCGAAACCCCATGCCCAGATCGAAAAGCCAGAAGCTACAACGTCAAAAGATTAAGCGATTTGAGCAGTTTCCCAGTCGGAAGTCGTATCTATCATCACTAACAAGCAAACAAAACATAGAGCTTTATCGTCCGAAATTCTACATTCCACTACGGGTCTCTTTGTGTAAATAATAAAGTGATTTATGACGTGGCGGAATTGAGAAAAATCACACAATTTGTCTTTCAAATTATTGGATTTTTAGCGGTAAAATTACAGCCCTTTTCGCGGGCTGGAAACGTCGATTGAATTTTTGGAGACGTGCTTTCAAACGTTCTTTGTATCCTATTGTGTTTGGCCTTTTTCTAAAAGGGAGAGAGAGAATTTTAGTCAGGCTTTTCGCCGCCCACGACTGAATTTTAAATCCTTCATTTCATACTCATTGCTCTTGTCTGTGAAATTGTTAAGGTTCTCTACCCCAGATCTGACACTCAAAAATCTTTTCCTTTTCGTTCAACAAATTCAGTCTCCAACTGGCCTGTCCAAAAGTTATACAATCAAGTAACGTCAGCCATTATGTAATTCCTTCATCATTTTTACGACCTGACCCCGCCTCAATTCTGTCCATTGCATTCATTGCACCAAAAGAATTGATGGCGGAATTTACCATAAAAGCCTTTTCAGAAAGGCGAGACCGAAAGGGCTGCATCAGCAGGCGTAAGTAACATGGGCGGAATTAATATGACGTGGGTATTTTTGCGACTGCGGTTCCGGGCAAGCCATTTTCTGAAGCTTTTTCCGGGTTGCAATAAGCTCTTTCTTTTTCTTTCTTTTTCTTTCTCTTTCTCTTTCTGGCTACCCCACTCGCCACCCACCTGGCCCACTGCCTCTGGATACCTACCCTCCCCAACCCCTTCATAAACTTACCTGGCTGGGGGGTTCCCGTGATCATCAAGACGGGACCCCTATGGCGAGGCTTGGCCATTGCACTTCTCGGCCGGGCTGACCTGTAAGGCAGCTCCGAGTTGGGGTTCGCCTACAGCTAAATTTTTGCGTGGGGGGCTGCGTTCGCGCGGCCCTGAAAATGAACTTTTAGAAAAGTTGGTTTTTAGCTGTTGTTCCATGCTTACCGGCCCGATAAAAGTTGCTTGCTGTTTGAGGTTGCTTGCAAAATCGCAGCCGGTGATTAGGGGTCGAATTAGGCGTTCCATCGCGCCTAACACGCTTGAAGCCTCCGTAAAGTCGCTGATAGAGGCTCTTTGACCGACACGCTAACAATGTCAAGATACCTCTTACATTAATGGTTGTCGCGAAAAAGGTACCGAGCGCACAATGACACGGGTTATCTTTTTCTTAACATTTTCCCAAAATCTTTTTTTAAAAATAAATCTTCCAAAAAGGGAGCGTAAAAATATCAAGAAACTCCAAATGCTATCATTGGTTTGGTTATTAATAGGCTTTTATCCAGGATCTTTCTTATTATCATTGATCCTTTTTCACTTCCAATCACCCAAATCTAGACTAAACGCGCAACTAAAATACTTCCTATGACCATGCTAGGCATGTCTAAACCTATTATAAAAAATTTCGATTTTTGGATGCATAATACTAAAAAACCGAGACTTCTTCGATATTTAACCGGTTTTAGGAAAAATAAACTTTAGGAAAAATGATTTTTAGGAAAATGCTTCTTAGGAAAAATGACAGTAATTCCAATGACACCAACGGGTTCAGCGATCAGCGAATTCAGGGCTGATCTTATCGATAGTTTTCTCTCTCTCTCTCTCTCTCCCTCTAACTTAAGTAAAATATGTAATGAAAAAATTTTAGTTTGAAAAGCCCGTTTTTCAACACAAAATCGATACTATTGCCAAACCGAGTTCAGCAGCCTAGTCCTCTAATTTATGACCACCCGCTTTCAACAGGTTTTACGACCTCTTCAACCCCTGATAAGTCGCCCGGGAAGCTTCTGGTGTTAAATTAAAGCTCGGATTTTGGACACGGGCTGCAGAATGTTGATACGGCCTACGCGTCTCTGAAGGGATATGTGCCCTGATAATTCCCCGGGGAATGTGTCGGCTTTTTATGCAGCAAGAGCCCATTTGTTGATACAGTAGGTATTTCAGGTTTGAATAGGTCTTAATTTGCCAGTTACTTGATCTGAGTGTTCACTTTCTCTGTCTCTCACTCTCTCTCTCTCGCTCTCTCTCCTTCTCTCTATCTAGCTCTTTCGCCCTTTCTCAATTTTTATCAATTTTACGGCCTACAGTCTTGTGCCCAGAGTACTGTTAATGCATGTGAAATTATAGGCCACTTGTGAAAGGGGTGGAGCAGCACCACCAAGAACTTAAAAACAGCGATGAAGCAAGGGTTCTCCCTCAGTCATGCTCGTCTTACCGTCACCAGATGTGTTTGTTTAATGCTCATGCTCGGAATCTGTTCCTTGTTTTTGCACTTTTCAAAGCTGCAACACGGTACTTTGTCGGTTTTTCCGAACTTAGAACCGTTTTGAGATGTTGAGCATGTTTTGCTTGGTCCCAAAGACGATGGTCAACTAGAATACAGTACCGATGGCTACCCGAATTTTCGAGTGGATCGGAATTTTACGAAACATGAGCTGTTTGTATACAGAGCGTACTATGATACAAGGCAAGAACTAGAGGATCAAAACGAGAGAGAATTAAAGAGAGAGAGAGAGAGAGAGAGAGAGAGAGAGAGAGAGGGGGGAGAGAGCGAGATCGGGAAAGTGAGGGAGAGATTATACTTGAATTTCCAGAGATCCCGCCGGCCCTCGAATCCGCATTTTCGGAACCAGTTTTTGCGATCACTTCAATATTTCCTCCCTGTCAATATTAATCGACTTAGAAATACTCGAAATGGACCCGAAATGGAATTATTTCATTGGCTGTAAATTATATTTTAAAAGCGTTTCAAGAAAAAATTCAGCAAACTGTGGAAAGGGTTATTTTGGCGGCTGTCATTATACTGAAATGGATTTGGCTAGTGTCGTATATAACGGCACTTATCAGCCTACGGTAAGTCCTCAGGAGGCACTTTCGGTTTAAAATGAGTAAAAGTATCTGAAAGGGGTCGATTTCCAGATCCAGTTACGTTATGAAAATCGAACAATCGATTTACCATTGGTGCGTGCTCCCACAGAGTACGAGAAATCAATCACGACGTGTATCTCCTCTCCTTTGCACACGTAATATGAGTCCAGCATGCAGGATACATTTATCTCTATTTAGCGCAAACGATTGGATACGAATTATGATCATCATGGAGTGGCTAAAGGATCATGGCGTTTCGAAATTTATTTTTCCTGTCCGCTCACTCTCAAACACCACGAAGCAATTGTTAGACTATTATGTTGACCAGGTAAAGACGTTTTTGAACATCGCGTCCCACTCGGCCCCCACCTGGCCCACTGCCTCTGGATACCTTCACTCCCCCATCCCTTCATAAACTTACCTGGCTGGGGGGTTCCCGTGATCATCAAGACGGGACCCCTATGGCGAGGCTTGGCCATTGCACTTCTCGGCCGGGCTGACCTGTAAGGCAGCTCCGAGTTGGGGTTCGCCTACAGCTAAATTTTTGCGTGGGGGGCTGCGTTCGCGCGACCCTGAAAATCATGCTAGCAATACCTTTTTCATTGGTATAGATTATCAACAAACAAAAATCATGTAACTTTTCATTTTCGGGCGTCGTCCAACTTGAGCCGATACCTTTGCTGCCTGTTGCGAAGAATGTGAGTTTTCAAGATCATTTTTGAACCGAACAAATAGGCTTTTATTGCGTACGTTTACGCACATCAAAAAGTGCAAAAAAGCGTTTTAATACCTTAGGAAAAATTAAAGTCCTATGCTCTAGGTTGATCCAAACTACGGCAGTCACGACTCCTCACAACTACTCAACGTCGCTTTATGCAATTTCTGGTCCCAAAGCGAGTACACGTTGATACAGGATATTGATGAGATCTTTTATGCCAGGTATGAATTAAGTTTTGACCATTAATTTTAATCGATACGGTAATAACGTGGGCGCAATAAATTCAAATTAATGGCATTTCTCTCGATTTTTTTTCCTCTGAAACCCAGGTTTCAAAATTTTTTTGTATGATGATTTTTTCAGAAATACTACGCTACTAGAATTGGCGGAAAAATACATGGGTAAAAAAGGAAGAGCAGGTAAGTAACCGCTACCTTATTTTCAATAGAATGTTTGTTATTTTTAAGGTTCCATAGTATTTCCCCATCACGCCCTGTCCCTTCCAACTTTTACCAACAAAAGCATCATTTCACCTCAATTTTTCCGAAGGGCGAAGATCTACAAAAGTAATAAAGCGGCAAAGGTTTCGATTTTTTGGAAAGATGATTGTTGATTTTCCAGCACATGATCGCTACTAAGCACGTCAAAACCCCATTTATTCACTTTACGCAGCGATACTTTAATGGAAGAAATGCGAAATCGGTGGGGGTCGTTTGCTTTGTCGAGAACTTGCTAACAAAGATTTTTTCTGTTTTCTTTAATTTCATCCCCTCGTTCTCCGGTTCGTAAAAAGACAGTACTAGCAAGAATACATATTCTAATTTTGCTTAGGGCCCGATTTTTACAGTTAAGCGACAAAGAAGCCTTATATCTACACCTTCGCGTCGGTTTCGAGAACCAAGGAGGCAACAAAACAGTGCTGTTTCCTGATGAGAAAATTTTTGGCGATGTGGGTCCAAATTTATCATTTTATGGTAGTTTTAGGCAACAAATTTTACAGAAAAACTTGCCAGAAAAATTGGCGAGATATTCCCATCCGGAATTCCGGAGTATCGTCTTCCACAGATGGTGCCAGTTTTGGACAAGTGTCAAACGTGGGTTTTTAGTAGAGCATATCGATGTTTGGCGACCAGTTACACTAGGTAACTCGAGATTTTACGGACATATGCGCCTGGGATAGTGGCCAGACATCGTAGCAGTTGTCACATATTTCTTGACTATTTTGGAACAAGACGAAACCATCCTAACGACATGCTCATAACGCTATGAAAGCAAATTTGCGCCTTTAAGGATCCGCCGCCGCGAAGAACCGAATTTTTGATTTCCGTTTTAGTGAACTACGCAAGAAGACA